ATTACCTTTTTCATTGAGGGGGAACAATTAATTTTAGCTTAATCATCAAGAACTGTTGGCTATGTTGGTTTTTTGTTCTTGTAGAGGACATTGAGGAAAGGAAAAAGGTGAAGAGAGCTGGAGACTGTTGTAAAAAGATCCTCAAACATGTCAACCAAGCTGTGAAAGAGGCTGAAAACAAACAGGTACACACATTAGATATTTAATCATTTTATTTAAAGAAATGTGCAGATTCATACAGGCAGAGATTTGGAAGGGTATTTTATGAGTTGTGTTGTGTCTTAACAGCGGCTCGAGGAGTATCAGAGAAGGTTAGACTTCTCGTCTCTGAAACAGAGTGAAAACCCTGTGATCCTGGAGCTGAAGGTAACAAACTTGTTTTAATCTCTGTTTACCTTGATATTTACTCTGGATTGTTTATGAAGTTCTGCCACGTGTTGTGTTTGCAGAATCTGGACCTCACTAAGAGGAAGATGGTTCATGAGGGTCCTCTCTCCTGGAAAGTCAATAAGGAAAAGACAATTGGTGTGTACACATCAGTATATGACAATAAGATTAAAAAAACTATAATATCAGACATTTTTGTAGATTAAATACTTCTTCAGGTTTATTTTTGCATCCAAAATGAGACAAAACTTGTCAGATACACATACAGTTTTATACCACTAGTGTTTTCCTTTCAGAGCTGTACACACTTCTCCTGGAGGACATCATGGTCTTGCTGCAGAAACAAGATGAGCGCCTGGTCCTAAAGTTTCATGGCAAAAACATGGCCAGTGTCGTCGACACCAAGCACACCTTCAGCCCCATCATCAAACTCAACACAGTCTTGGTTCGACCTGTCGCAACTGGTAAGAACCGCAGACAAGTGGAAATGGTGCTCCATAGTGCAGTGGTTTACTCCTAACAAGCAACGCATCCCTGGTTGATGGAGTCACAGATCCCATTAGGGGTTGTATCAGGAAGGGTGTCAGGAGACAGGAAAGCTTTGGGGGGAAAAAAGACCAGGGGAAGACGTGCAGTAAATCCCTCAGTGTGGATTCAAACAATACAATAGGTCACCTGGTCTCCCCTGTGAGCTAAACCATCATTTAGCTAAACATTTAGCTTAGCTTAGTTTAGCATTTAGCTAAACCAGTATTTAGCTCACTGAATTAAGTTTAGAACCTTTTTTTTGTTTTTACCACCATAAAAACACACAGGTAGTGTTATGTTCTCAGTTGTGTCGAAGATGCAGAAGATTTTGGTTGGCATGCCAAATTTCCTCAGCCATTGTAGGAATGACAGTTTTCCTGTGAGATCCTAACTGAGGACTTAGCATGCTAACATTAGCTTTTAACTTAACTTCACAAGTTTCTTTGTTTTTTCATGTCAGTGACATTAGTTTCTGTATATTTTTCTATGTACACACTCTATTTTGAATGTAAATGTAGCTTTTGTGTCATGTGGACCAATCCTTGTTTGAAATTTTCTCTTCGTCAGACAACAAGTCTTTCTTTGTTCTGTCCATGTCCGAAAACGGGGCTCAGATCTACGAACTGACGGCTCAGACGGTGTTCGATCAGAGAACGTGAGTGTCGCACCAAAACAATGCTCATGCACCTTCATCTGGTCACTTTTAGTCTGTTTCATCCAGCTGTGCCACCTCTGTTGCTCCAGGTGGCAACATCTAATCACACAGTGTGCTGAAGCCATGAAGGCCAAACCCCACAGGAGGGACACGCCTCCACCTCAGTCTGAGTGAGTCTGCTAATGCTGCAGACATTGTCACTGGTATTGTTGTTTGAGTTTTGAGTGTGCGTGTTGTTGTTTTTGGGGGGTTTTTAATTCACTGCTTACAATGTAAATGTGTTTCAGTGCGGAGCGGGATGCAATTAATATCATCAACAATGGGATGCCTAAACTGAGCAAAGATGAGACACCGAGTGAAAGTATCCGTTCTGCAGGTATCTATGTGTTTGTCAGTACCAAAAGTACTGATGGATCGATTAATCTATGGCTTTTTCAAATGATATATTAAATCAGAGATGTCAAAATAATTTTACATCATGGGTCACATGCAGCCCGCTTTGATCTTAAGTGGGCCGAACCAACGTAACTCCACTGATGTTTAACTACACACACAAGTTCAATTTCAACAATACAGCTCAGTCTTTGTATGTAATAAAAAAGTGTTGCTGTAGTAATTTAATAAAATCTGTCCGCACAAATAAATAAATGTGCAAAAATATAGAAAAAAGCTCTGGTAGCTCATTGTTCATAAATCTTATTCCCCCCCTGTGGACCCATTGTAAAAAATAACACTTTCTATGGTAGATGATGAACTAAACGGTGAATTTGGTGTGTTTTAATTGTTAGTGTTCATCTTATATTTAATTGCTTTGGTGTAATATGGTGGAGGCAGTAGGAAAATCTTTAAAACCTATGAAAATATAGTTAAAATCCCCAAATCTATGCCCTCCAGCCGATTTGGCCCATATGGAAAAGAAATAGTAAAAACACATATGATTTACTCATGAAAGTGGCCACTTTCTCATTACTTTCATATATTTTTTTAGTAAGTATCCAAAACATACAAGTTTCATTATATAATTTTTCAAGAGATCTTATATGTGTTTTCACTCTTGTATGCTTTTCATACAAGTTTCATACAAGACAGATACAAACTTTATAAGATTTATATATATCTTTTCCATATGGGGGAGTCTTTGCAAGTCTGATTCTGTGTTGTTGTTGTTCATGGTTTTCTGTCCAACGCTTCATCACATTTTTAAAATTTAAATCCCAGATATGAGCATCTCCGATAAAGTGGCCGCCTCTACTTCAGACATTCAAGATCCACCGGAGAGTCTCAACCCCTTCGATGGATTGAGATCAGAAGATGAAGAAGAGGAGCTGCCGATGACAGACAGGCAGGAGGAAGAGGAGCAGAATGGAGAGGTGGATGAAGCGGAGCTAGAGGCCTTCCTGGACGGGCAGCTGGCGGAGAGACTGCTGCAGGAAGGATCGCGGCTTGGCATTGCCCTTGAAAATGAAGAAGAGCACAATGCTTTTGTCATGCCTTGCTCCAAAGCTGAAGAAGCTCTAAAGACACGTAAGTCCTCATTACCTGTCGGTAGCAGTAAGCACTGTGGATAGTTTTGACCCTGAGATGTTTGTTTTATCATTAAGCTCGGGTTAATTCAAATAAATTCAGTTTTATTCATATAGCCCCAAACAGCAGTCACCTCAGCACGCTTTGTATTGTAAGCTAGAGATCCTACAATAATACAGAGAAAACCCCAACAATCAAAGAATCCTCTTTGAGCAAACCCTTGGCAACAGTGGGAAGGAAAAAGTCTCCTTCAACAGGAAGAAACATCCAGGAGAACCAATGTTTAATGGTAAAGAGAATATGCTGACATTCGCATGAGAAAAATGACCGCTGATGTCTGTTTCAGTGGCGATGCTGAAGCAGGCAGTCTTCACACACATGTTAAGCAGAGAAGCAGAGGAGGAAACGGAGGAGAGCAAGCCGAGTGGAGCCCGTGGGAGTCAGTCGAGTCCTTCTTTGCCTGAGAGCCCAGAGGGGCCCTCTGCTACCTGTGATGAGAGCCAGACATCTGAAAGTTTACAGAAAGAACACCTGCAGCCTCCACCTGAGGCTGCTGAACGTAATGGTACTGCTGTACTCTAGTATTAAGAATTAATGACCAAAACATACTTGCATAACTATCTCACCATCTCCTGATCTGCATCTCCACCCAGGTGGCTTCGTGGTCCTGGATTTCCCCGGCTCTGAGGAAAGCAGCACTGATGATGATGTCGGAGTTGGAAGTGATGTCGGGATCGACATGAGGAAACTGCTGTCTTCCTCCTCGCAGATGGGAGGCGGAGGCCCCAACCTCAGTCGGCAGCTCATGACCCACCTGCGCCTCCTACAGGCCGATCTGCAGTATCTTAAGGTACCTTAGTATCTGAGGTCTGCTTTCTATAGTCGCAAAACCTAAACATGGTGAGATGTCTCGCCTCCAGTGAGTCATTTTTGTGATGTTAAATTTACTGGAGAGTGTTGCCCTAACACACCTGATCTCTATTTTCTCCACCAGCTGTTTGTAGCCAGTGGATGATTTTCATATATCTGCACTAAAAAGCACAAAATTACCATCTGATAGCAATGCTGGGGTGTTTTTAATGTCTCTTTTTACTTGAACAGCAATATTAGGGCCAAATGTTTAACGCAGTAAGTAAGCCGTTTTGGGGTCATTGCTCAGAAAAGTAATATATTACTCATTAGATGTTCAGCAGCTGCCTAACAAGCAGACACAAAAGTTGTAAGGTTAAACAAACGACTGATCCAAGCCCAGACGCAGGTTTGTTTTTTTAAAGATTTAAAATTTGGTACATTACCATGGAAAAACCTGCTTACTCTTAAACTAAACCAGACTTTCATAAATTCAAGCCTGAAAAAATGATCTGGAGGATGGTTTGCATTTGGATGTGTTCTTCTAAGTAAATGAATGTTCTCTGTTTGTATTAAGATTATGCAAAAATGTATTTGCCTCCTCACATCTTTAGTTATATTTTCTTTTGTTTTTCTACCCTCTAACATAGTGTCCTTTTTTGTATTTATATTTTTCTTCCAGACATTTTTGTAGTTTTTTAAAGTGGTCCTTCCTTCAGTCCTTAGGCACTTTGTTATCTCGTATTAACTCAGACTGTGTGTGTTAGCTAGTAACACAGCCTGACAGTAATAAAATGGTATTTTTAGCATCAGTAAGGTGATTCCCATGGAGCCATCAGTCAGACTTGACATTTTAGCAAGGTGTGGAGTGTGTAAAAATAACAACAACAACAAAAAAACTATCTACAGTAAATGAAGAGTATCTGAAATTCAAATCATTAACTGGCATCTGAGTCTTTTTTACATAACACAAGAAAAACATCTGGATTTTTCCCCAGGTAATGTAATTTAAATGTATTTTTAAGTTGTAATTAACATATGTATCTTCTCCTAAATTCTTAAAAACTTTGACACGAAATGTAACTGAGTGAACAATATAATCATCGTATTATTATAAGTGTCTCAGTGTCCCATACCACTGGTCCAGTATGAACTGGACCAGTGGTATGGTCCAGTTCATAACCTTTGGTATGAACTGGACCATACCACTGGTCTGTTAATAAGAGATGAGGATCAAGGAATGTAGTTACAGAAAAATATAAATACAGAAAAACCTAAATAAGTTGCACAATATTAATGAATTAATTAAATTTTTAGCAATACATTTAAAAATGCAGAATATAGCAAATATTATCCAAATTAAATCTCATATGTGCAAATTAATATTAAATATTTTTTTATTGTCAGGTTATTCAATAAACAATTGATTTTAAATATAAATGTAGTTTTCTGGGAATTATTGAATGGTTAGTGCTTTAAAGGCTTACTCTAACACCAGTGTGTGTTTACAGCTGCTTTAATATTTACAGGTAAAATGTCTCATTGCAATCACCATCTCTGCATTAACCTCCTAGGACCTGCCGTCCACATATGTGGACATCACATTTTGGGACGTCTAGACCAAAATACTTAATTTTTCTCTACAAGGGCCTGATATCCACATACGAGGACATTATACTGCCACTGTTCTATCAAAATTTGATACAAATGTCCTCATATGTGGATCTCATTTTTCTCAAAAATAAAAAATAGGTAAAAAAAACAAAACAATCTGGTAATTCTTTGTTTTTATGTTCTTTAGGTCCCAATCAACCCAAATAGCAAAGAAAAATAACAAATGCATGCCATGAAAGCGTTCGGGTTTTAGGATGTTAAGAGAACTTTTTTTTTTCTAAATTCCTATTTTGACTCCTGCATTTAAGCCCATTTTGTCAGTTTGACTGTATCTGTGTCTGATCTGTGGGCCACAGTCAGTTGTGCTGTAATGATGATCTGCTTCCAGGACATAGAGATGAAGTACAACGAACTGCAACAAACGCACGGCGATGCAGCCACAGACTCGGATGACAACAACGGTGTGTTTGAATTCTCTCGGTCATCTCACTTTCATCAGCTTCGCGCTCAATTTAATGTTTTGTATTTCAAACTCTCTTTCTGGTATTTTTTCAGATGGGATTCAGTGACGAAAGGCTTCCTGCTCTCTCGGCTGTCAGAGCCAAGTTTCATGTTGCTGCGTGCTCACCTTCCTCCACCTTTTACCACTGAAGGATTAATGTCTGATCTCCGACTTCAAAGGACGGCGTCATCGTCGCAGTCTGAATTACTCCACTATAAACTCTTTCACAAAGCAGGAGCAGAAGAGACATATCACTGAGTTTTTCATGGACACTTTTTAGTATAATAATAATCACTGACTGCATAAATGATCTGAAACACTGGATATAATGAATGGAAAAAGGCTAAGCCGACCATCTGACGTCACAGACGTTCAGCAGAGAAGAAGTGAGACATTATGACTGTGACCAGTACTGAAGGAAGATTTTCCTCTTCAAAAAACTCAGTGTAAAAGCCTGCAATAGAAAATAACCTCTACATTATAGATAGAGTCAATATACAAGTGCCCAATAAAATGCCTAAATGGAAGGTTAAAACACTCATTCCAACCATAAAATTTACCCAGAAGGGATTTAATGCTGTTTTTAGCCAAGCTTTGCATTAAACGTTAAGCAGGTGATGGTCTGATTTGGATCAAATATCTAACAAAAACTCTGAAGCTCACAAATCTACACCCTGAATCATTTTTTCAATTACAAGCACAAATATAATAAGGCAGTTTAATGCTGTGATTTCTGACTTACTTGCTCAGCAGTAAAAACCAGATACTTTGAAGATGAGTTTCACTTGAAACAGCCTCTTTTGAGGAAACTACAGGCAGCTGTGGCAGTCTGCTATTGGCCAAAGCAATCACACCGGTCACATTGTTCCCTAGTGACGAGTGGTTGTCTGGGTATTTTCTATTTTAATTTTAAAATATAAGATATTAAAAAATCAGTGGGCTTTAGAGTTGGCGATAGCTGTGTTTTCCTCCCTGCTTTTCAGTCTTAGCTAAGCTAAGCTAGCACACTTGACAGGTCTGGACTTTGCGTTCAGTATGTTACGCTTGTATTTGCTGCATTAACACAATTTCAGGAAGACCAAGACGATTCTCATTATTCTGATTTTGGAGCATCAGAAAAGCTAAATATGAATTTGTTGTAAATTTCCTTTTATTGTGTTAGATACTACATGTGTAGGTTGTTAACAAGTGACACCAGATACAAACAAAACAGTGTGACGTTCCTTTTAGCTCAGCTGATCAAATAAGTGCTAATATTGAACTTTATGTGGGTTTAACTTTGACTTTGCAGCTGCGACGCTCTCGGGTTTATGAGATAAATTGGAGGATTTAGAAGTTTTAATTTCTCACTGACTGTGGGATACATTCTGAACGTCTCATCTTAAGTAAGAAAAAAGGTGAAAATCCCCGTTTCTTATGATGGCAGGTTGATTTAGCTTTTTGTCTCAAGAAAACTAAAAGGTAATTTCTTGAGATAATAAGATGGTTTATCTCAGAAGCATTTTGTTTTCCTGTTATTATGTGAAGATTATAGGAATACCCAATAGCCCTTGCCTATCTTGACCACTTATGAAGTTAAAAATAGGCAGAATTACTAAAGTGACATGTGCTGCTTCAGCTGGGCTAATCGTAATAATGAGAGGCCAACAGGGACCTTTTAAATTATTTTTTTAACGGCCTGGCACAGAGTGACCAACAACATGGCTTGGTGAGTCCAACTGGAATCTAAAAATTCAATTAAAATTAATACAGTGAGGAGAAGTGGCATAGAAAGCAGTAGGCACACTTTTCAAGCATATTCACAGTCCTGTGCCCTAATACAGTATTACTAATATTATAGTAGAATTATATGCATGTGTGCAAGAGTTTAAAATATTTTTTGTATTACAGCTGTTTTCACAGAAAAACAAGTATCCAGACTTTAGTGTAAAATAAATCCTACAAAAGAAGAAGGCAATTAGACAAGAAATAAAAGTTTCTGCCTAATAGTATGACTCCTTATGTAGTACGACCTTTGAGTCTAATAAATGATACTGTGTTGCTGGATCATAATTCATTATATTTATATACAGTGGTGTGAAAAAGTGTTTCCCTTCTTCCTGATTTCTGAGTGTTTTGCATATTTCTGACAGTTAAATGTTTCAGATCATGAAAGAAAGTTTTATATTAGACAAAGATAACCTGAGTAAATACAAAATGCTGTTTTTAAAAGATGGTTTCATTGATTAAGGGAGAAAAAATTTCCAAACCTACCTGGTTGTGTGTGAAAAAGTGGCTAAGTTCAGTTTCACCAAACAGTCAGGCCTTATTACTGACAGACCTGATGAATCACTTAAATAAAACCTGTCTGACAAAGTGACGCAGGCTAAAAGATCCCAAAAAGCAACACATCATGCTACAATCTAAAGAAACAGCTAAGTAGCAAAGTCACTGACATCTATAAGTCTGGAGAGGGATAAGAAAGCCATTTCTAAGGCTTTGGGACTCCAGTGAAACACAGTGGGAGCCATTATACCACAAAACAGTGGTGAACAACATTAAAGAACCGCAGGCTTCACATATCTAAGTTAATGTCAGAGGTCATGATTCAACAATAAGAAAGAAACTGGGCAAAAATGCCAAAGTCCTGACCCGAATCCAATTGAGATGCTGGGGAATGACCTTAAGTGGATTCATGCTGGAAAGGCCTCTCAATAAGTGGGTGAAAAACAAGAATTCTGCAAAGATTAGTGGACTAAAATTCCTCTACAGCTCTGTAAAACACTCATTGCCAGTTCCTGCAAACGCTTGATTGCAGTTGTTGCTGCTAAGGGTGGCCCAACCAGTTATTAGGTTTAGGGTATTCACTTTTGGTTTGGTTTTCTCTCTTAATAATAAACAACTTTGTTTAGAAACTGAATTTTGTGTTTAGTTGTTATCTTTGTCTTATATTTCAATTTGTTTGATGATCTGAAATATTTAAGTGTGGCAAACATACAAAAGAAACCCCAAACAAACAGGAAATCGGGAAGTGTGTATGTTTAATTTTGCAACTGGTAATAATTTAATTATTTACAGCTGTGTAACAGTATAGGAATTGAATTGAACCACTCCTATCCATGCTCTCATGCAGTAACGCTGAACATTGTAAGATTTCCAGTGTGACTGAATTGTGCGATGACACCAGGAAGTAACAATAACTTCTTTGAAGTGGGGAAGGGCAGTGACACCCCGTACCAATCTGGATACGCCCATGTAGGAAAGAGTTGAACAGAAAGCTGCAAAGCTAGGCTCATTTTCTCACAATAACTAAATATATAACTTGTTCATCTCACTAGAAAACAAGTTTAATTGCCTCAACATAAATTACTAGATAAATTGATTTATTCTCACAAAATGAAAAAATTGCATTAAAAAAAACCTTTTAAATTATGTGCATGTCCATTATCATCTTCTGTATTCCTTTAATTACTATACGCTTGCCAGTTACCATCATCTCTGTATGATTTTTCATAGCAATGCAGTGCTGTATAGCAGCTGACTTAAACAGTCACAGATTTTAAACACCCGGAAGCACTTAAATGTAGCAAAAAAACAAACAAAACAAAAAAATAATGTCCCCAGTTTGGAGTCCATTGGTTTTATCCTTCTATCAAATAAACAGTAAATCAAAAAACAAACAAATCATTCAAAAATAAAATGCAGATGGACAAAAAACTCTTAAAATAATAATTCAGATGGTTGGTTGATGCTTGGTTGACTAGCCGAAGTGTACGTAGTAAACCAGTTTTGTCCAACCTGTGTTTTTAACTATAAAAATACATTCACGCAGACATCTGCGCTTCACTTTTAAGGTTGGGCTGAAAATAGATTCACCGGCCACAAGACTGCGCCGTGGCTCCAGTTTGTGGATAAATATGTTCAGGCAAAAACGATGACTGCTTTGGACTGCGTTCAGGGTAAAGGCGTATATTGTACAATGACTGCATGTCAGTAATTTTGTTCGTGTTTTTACTCGCACCTTTTTGTTTTACACCATGCTATCATGTAATGCTTTAACACAAACTGCTCAAAAAGAGGAGAATTAATCCATTTTATAAATGTTATTTTAAATGTTATATTTTTTTGTTACATTGTTATTAACTCTGTTAACATGTTTATGACACAGGAAGCTCATTGTTTGTGAAAATTAAGGAAAAGATGAATGGAAATTTTTGTTTAATTTTATTTGATCTTGATGGGGAAGTGAGATAACAGACTGTGCTTAAAAAATAGAGCGAAACTTTGCCCTGAAAAGTGAAGCGAATGCTTAAGTGCCTTAAACTTGTTTTTGTCCAAATGGCCAGCAGGGGGCAGTACATCTGGTTACAAAAAGAAGTCCTGTTGTACAGAAGTCTATGTGAAAATGACCCTACTGCTGATTGATTGAGTAAACAGTTTTCATGTGCATCAATGGAACATG